CATTGCACAGGTGTTGGGTCCCCTTTAAATCCATGGGTTGTGCAATTATGTTCGCGTTCTTGGTGTACTTTGTTGTTGTTTGTGTTCTTGTATGTTGTTTTGATATGTTGATGTTGTTTTGATGCTTAATGAGTTGTAATTTGGATATAAAATATATCCTTTATGAGCTATGAGTTGTTGTAATTTGCTCTCTTTTCTTGTACAGGTCCATGATATGCAATGTCTCATCAAGTAGGGAATAGATTCCAGGAAGAGTTTGGATGTGAGCTAAACACACTTTTTTTCAGGTTTGTGATTCTAGATATTATAGTTTATTTCTTTTTTTATTTTCTCCAATAACTTTTACTCTTCTTGTATTTCTCGTTTGCTAAATTTACATGAGTTTGGGGTTGATTACTTGTTTTATTGAATTTGTTTTGAGTCAATGAGTTTGACTTATTCGAGTGTAGCATTTGATGATTCATTTACATGTTAGTATTTACTTAGGAATCAATATTATTTCAAGATGCCCTAAAAGTAACCTTTTTTCTATGATGATTGTAAACATAAAATAAGTTAGAATATTTTACATTGAATGTTCTTTACTCGCTAGGTCTTACGTGTTGGTATCCCCACCTGTTAGTTTTTGACTCATACTTTAGAATATGAAATTGAATAATTCAAGAGGGTGGCTCAAGAGGTTCAAGGGAATCTATTAGTGGTCAGGTAAGTATCTTAATTTTAAATGAATGCCTAATGTTTCTGCTTGTCCCATACACAGTAGGTTTTAGTGTTGCCTTTGCCAATTTTATTGGTTATCATAGTTGCACTTTAATGACTTCTTGTCTATTAATTTTTTAAAAATATAAGTTACTGTTTGTGCTTTTTATCCATCTTACTATGATCCAATGTTGGATGCATGATGCATTCGTGTTGTGGGACACATTTGGCTTCCCCTTCGATCTAACTCAAGTGCCTGATGAATGGCTTCGTTCATCTCTTTCGTTTACTATATACACAGTACTTTGGACCACAAAATGGATGACTTTTTTCTTGATTTTTGCATTTGCAGTTGATGGCAGAAGAAAAAGGCTTGGTGGTTGACATTGAAGGCTTCAATGTTGCAATGAATGCGGCCCGAGAGCAATCTAGAAATGCACAAAATAAGGTTTTGTTTGATTTTTATATCTTGGTCTTTCAAAGAATAAACACTACTAACATGTTATTCAGTGTTCCTTTCCCCGTATTTTCTTCTTTTAATGCATGGTCTTAGGTCTTGGAAATAAAAAAACTACATGCGGAAAGCTTGATATATTTGTTAATGAGGTTTTGAGAGTCTGTAGTTGTTCACAGTACATTGTGGTTTTGAGAGTTTGCAGTTGTTCGCAATAGTCATGTTCTTAAGAAATAGTCGTAGGTTTTTGCTCAGGTTTTTTCTGCCTATGGTTGCAGTTTTGGTAATGATTTTTGGCAGGTCGCAGTATATCAGCTTCATGGCTGCTACTAGTGGAAGAATAAAGGTTTATGGCAGGTTGGTTCATGCTTTGGAAATGGTTTCTATTACCTTCAGCAGATGAAAAAGAATCAATTTGCTGCAGACTGTTTGCGGCTTGAATTGATCTTAGGGCTGAGGGACCTTCCACAACTATCAGGTTTTTTTTTGAGTCTGATTGGTTTTTTTTTCACAAAACACTTTGAAGTGGTGTATTAACAGTCTTGAGCATGACTTTACATGCTTGGTCTTCCTTTTCATCTTTTCTAGTTTACGAAGATCATGGGTTCTGATCCATAGGTCTAGCTTTTGCTTGTTTTGGTTTTAGCTCTAGATTTTTCTTAAGGTACTGGTTCCTTTGTTTTGGTTTTTAGTATTTTACAAGCCTCTACAAATATGTGGTTTCTCCCATTAACAGGTCCCGGGTAATGATCAACAGGATGTTAACTCTATTTTTTGTGTTAAAAAGACGGGGAAGAAGATGATTGATAAGGGGAACACCAGAAGCAATGACTTTACTTTCAGAATCAGTTCAAGGATCTTCTATCTTCAAATCTTACCATAACAACACAGAAAGGGGAAGAAGAAAATGTTTTAGATATTGGTTAGACATTGAATCAAACTTGTGGGTTTGCAGCTGCTTCGCGAGTTCGCGGTCAGAATTCATCACTTTCAATCTTAGGGATTGCTTCCTTTGCTGAACACTGGTATTTGCGCTATAATCCACCTACATCCTGCCTCTTGGTTATGGATTTACTTTTCGTTGGGGTTTTCAATATTGATTATGTAATTTTATTTAGGGATTTTAGGCTAGCTTGGTAACTACCGTGTTCTTTTTTGGAGGGGCTTTGGTTTGGTCCTCCCCTCCCTATTGTACCTCTCTCATTTTTGTAATAAAACTTTTTTATATTAAATTAGTTTGTCATTTAATTTAGAAGTTAGCTAGTTACGTGATCATTATTTGTCATACTTTTATGTATGCACATAGATATTTTATTAATTTTTAAAGAACTAATATTCTCCGCACTTATATGTGTGTTAAATTAAGAACACATGCAAGTGTTGCAAAATAATTTATTAGCCGCATATATAAGTGTTGCTAATGTATTCATTAGCTACACTTATCCAAAAGTGCGGCAAAAATTTCCCCACATTTACGTAGCTGCACTTAGGGTATGTGTGGCAAACTATTTTTTCCACATTTATAAGTGTGGCGAACAACAATTTTAAGTGTAGCGAAAAGCAACATTTCTTGTAGTGGGCATCCCAAAACTCCCTCTTTACTTCGTCTGCCAAGCCAACATGTGGGGCGTAAGCACTCACGACATTGATCGCACCCCCACCGAAAACCAACTTGATAAACATCAGATGATCACTAATCCTCTTCACCTCCACCACAAACTCTCGCAGCTCCGGCGCCACCAGAATGCCGACTCCATTCCTTCCCCTAGCTAAACCTGAATACCACAGTTTAAAACCATCAACCTCTCGCGCCTTAGTGCCCACCCACCTGGTTTCTTGCACGCATGCCACCTGGATCCTTTTCCTCTTGAGAACTTACACCAACTCAATTGACTTACCTGTTAGGGTCCCTATGTTCCATGAACCGAAACACACATGTGACGCTACACTACCCCTCTGCGACCCACCTACCCCCGTCCCATCCCCGGGATATGACCTTATAGCTACATTGCTAACCCACGCCACTACACCTACACAACAGCTCCAAAAGCAAATTAGGGACGAAGCTACTAGCACAAAAACAAAAAGATACGAACCACTACTAAATAAGGTAAGAGCAACAATATAAATAACAATAAAGGAGTACGACAGTAGCACAAATAGTTAGCAGTCAAAGCACACCTTAACACACACAGTAGAGAAATAACATCAATCAAATCCCAAATCACATAAGAACGATAAGAAAAGCAATAAAAGCGATAAGAACACGGAGAAGGGTTGGGCAGGGAAGGCCGGTGACGGAGCAAGGGTGGGGGAATGTAGCTAAAGTGTGGTGAGCGTGGAGGCTAGGTGG